TCTTGTTTTTCTTTTTCAGTGGTATTGTGCTGGACTGGGCTTTTTAGAGCATATTTTTCAGAGTTTCCCAAGTTTCTTGAGTTGTTTTCCCCTTTAGGATTTTCATCCAAGGAATCTTTCCCAAATTCTCACTGAGTTTGTTAAAATCAGCTCCTTTAAAATCTAGGATTTGGCCACCCCACCTATGCCAGCATAAGAGGCATGCCACGAATTTCATAAGTGAAGGAATTTTGGCAAGCAGGGTTCAGGAGAAGAGCATTTTTGGCTGTGGCTCCTGCCCTTTGGAATATTATATCCTCTGAGGTGAGATCCACACCAACCCTCCTAACCTTCCTTAATGGCCTAAAGATCTGCCAGTTGGCCTGGGACCCCAATGGGAGGGTATTACTTATTATTAGGTGGCAATAGGACTAAGAGAAGACCCACCTCTCCCCGTGTTCTTTAGCCTTCCTTCTCTCCCTCCATCTTTTAATGATAAATTATTATTTATTGTTTTATCATTTTAATATTTGCTGGTTTAAAGGTTTGTAACCTGTCCAGAGTAACTTCTAGATGAGATGGGTGGCCATCCTAATTTAATAAATAAATAAACTCCCAGTCTGTGAGATACATGTAAAGTAACCCAACATTATTATCATCCTGGAAGAAAGAATTGGCAAACCATACTACAAGAAAACTATATCGGTGTTTCAGTTCAGTACATATGAAGTTGTGGAAAAAAAATGAAATTTTTGAAACACTACAAGGAGGACAAAAAAAATTAGTAAATCAGGGCTGGGTGCATGTTCACAAAGTTGATTGGACTGGTGTCTGTGATGGTGTAATTGGTTTTGTTATTTTTGTCCTCTGTTAATATTTTGTCCTCTGTGGAAATCAGATCACTTTGTCACCAGGTTCATCAGATTGTTATAACTTTTCCAACTTCCTTCATATCTCAAATTCTAGGATGGGAAAGGATCTACAGCAGGACTGTCAAACTTGCATTGTCACGGCACTGTCACGTGACATATCAGGACTTTTCCCCTTTTGTTAAACTGGCATGGGCATGGCCAGCATGTGATGCATCTGGCCCGCGGGCTGTGAGTTTGACAGCCCTGATCTACAAGGTCAGATTTTGGAACATCAGTATGACCCATCAAAATATTTCAGATGTTCTGGGAAAGAGTTGGCAGTCCTAAGGTTGGAAGGACATATCACTGTGATTTCTACCAGAAAATCCAAAGCCAGAAGCCTTGATTGATTAGCTTTGCGAAATCATTGGGTGACCTTGAACATGTTGCTCATTTTTCATCATAATCTTTATGATACAGATTATTATGAAGATAAATGAGAATAATTTTAAAGGCTTTGTACATTGACCAATAAACTTTAGAGAGTGAAAATATGAACATCTCAGGGTGTCCCTTAAATTCCATTCATAGAAAATTACCATTTCTTCCTGGAACATCATCATATATATCCTTCCAGCTTTAGATGAAGAGATGTTGGCTCTGTCAAACGAAGATCTTTTAGAAAAAGCCTCCACTGTTATTTTCCTTGCTTTTTAGAATGTGTCTATGGACACATAATTTGGTAGTTTCTATGAATAATGAAGTTAACAGCTGTTTTGCAAATTTGTTAAAGGGCACCCTACCCTAGGGAATTCACAAACTGTAAATCAGAATGGTCAAGCTTCTAGGTCTTTATTTTAAATTTTATATCCAAGCTGAAAGTGAGATGCTCTCATAAAGATCTCTCTCTCATCCCGTCTCTCTTTCACACACACACACAAATCCATATATTATTAATACACTTTGATGTACTAGAGACAAAAGATTTTTTCTGGAGAAATATTCCAAATTGTAGTTTATCCAAACTGAGATACTACATTCCAGATGCAGAAAACATCCAAAACATCATTCTACATTCCAGATGCAGAAAAACATCCAAAACATCCAGGAATATTCTCATGGGTATATGAGTTTGAACTTTCTGTGCTCAAATAATTCTTAACTTACGTTCTAGAACCCGCGCAGGTAAAATGAAAATATCTGGTAGCTTTTTTTGCTATCAGTAAAGGAATTCACAATTTCTTCTTATCTTAAAATACCCTTAGATTCCTTCCAGAGATAGTGGAAATAAAAAGGAGGAAGTGGATGTGAAAGAATAAAAAAAACATATATGGGAAGTAATAAAATAAAATATTGCTTGCATAATAACTGCAACAGGCAATACAGGCAATATTTTTGCAGCCAAAAGCTGGTTTCCCCCTCCCGCCCCATTTTTCCAAGCAGTTAATTAATAAAATAAAAGATGGTACTGGAATAAGTAGATTATCTTCTCCCATTTAGGCATTGGAGTTGTTAAAAATTAGGGATATGTTAAGCCTATTGTAGATTAAAACATATTTATAATTTGCCAAATCATTGCTTTGCCAGGAAACATTGATCCTTAGAAACTTCAGGGGCCACTCATATTATGAACCATCTTTATTTTAAGCTAAAATTGTTATTTGTTTGTTTGTTTGCTTGCTTGCTTGCTTTATTTATTTATTTTTATTTATTTGTTTGTTTGTTTGAATGATGACATACCAAAATAACTTATTAGTCTAAATGTATTCATACTCAGCTATAATGTAAACAATCTCATCACAAATCCTGTGTATCTGGGTATCTTTTCCACTTTTTCTCACTAGTCTCACCTTTCCGTCATATGTTCAACAGAAACCTGATTTTGCTTTTTCTGTCCCTAGCTAACCAACGCGATAAATGGTGCTGGGGGAAAAAAAGTCTGCTGCCTGGCATGGATTCTAATTGGCCGTGATAGTGGTCAGCTGCCGATTTGTTTATAAACTGGAAAATCTACAAATTGCCAGCCATCTGCCCAGCACAGTCTGCTAATGAATGCCTGTAGCCTGCAGATCCATACACTGATTGCCTCCATGTCTCTGTGCTGTCACCTGGGGTGATCTGCCAGAGTTTGAGATCTGAAAATAAGTTGTGACTTCACTGTCATTGGCTAATTCTTATAGATATGAAATACCCATTGCAAAGGTGTAGATGATACACTTTTTCATGTTTCGATGGAAGGTATGAGGGGTCTTTGGTGCTCTCTGAGTTTGGTTATTTTCTTGCAGACATTTCATTACCCAAATGAACATAATCAGTGCTATCAGTAACTATCATTGATGATGTTACCTGATTTGCATAATGTATTTATTTATTTATTGGTTCGATTTATATGCCGCCCTTCTCCGGAGACTCAGGGCGGCTTATATACTTTTGTATATACCTGCTTAGTAGGGCTTTTGGGGCCCCCATAAGCGGTGTTCTTTTTTATACAAAGTCAGTTTATTGGCCCTACAATCCAGGTCCTCGTTTTACCTACCTTGAAAGGATGGAAGGCTGAGTCAACCTTGAGCCTGGTGAGATTTGAACTTGTAGTAATTGCAGGCAGCTGGTGCTACTTAACAGCACTTTAATCTGCTGTGCCACTAAGGCTCTTTGTAATGACACATCTGCAAGAAAACAACCCTGATTTCAACTCTGAACTACAAATATACTCCTTTATTGATGGAAGAAATAGTTTTTGCAATTAATTTACCTGCTTTGCAGGATCAAGTACTTTGGTGTGGTTTCACATTAGCAGATTTGGGACAGCTCTCTGGAGTGGAACAATCTTTCACTCAGAGTTTGCTGGAAAGTCTTTAAGGTTCAGAGCGTGTGACTCCTTAAGAAAAATCTTTGGAACTTCAGGATTGCTTTATACCATGGGGGAAATACTAGCAGGGATTTCCCATTACAATGCTTTCCCAAGAGAGAAGGGACGCTACTTCTTTCCTTTGAAAAAGAAAAGGAAAGACTCATGGAGTCATAGAGTTGGAAGACAAAAAATATTTGTTCATCACTCTTCCCAATTCTGAAGGTTCTGTGCTTTGATTTTGTTGCTTCATTATGATATTTTTCAGCCATTTGCCTCAGTAAGTGGTTGCTTTTAGCTTTATCTCTGGAGATGCTTCACATTATGTGTGTATCACTTCTATTTCTAAAGGGTCTTGGTGTAATGCCTTAGCTGGGGGGGGAGAGAGAATGGGGTTGTGTATTGTGACTTTACCTGGTCTATCCTACTCCTTTCTTTTTTCCATTGTCCTCCAGGTTTGTACCTCTTCTCTGGAGATTTCCTTATTTGTCACATTTTTCCAGTTCAGAAGACATAGAACAGAACGAAGCTCTGCATTCTTGTTTTACCAATTCTGCATCTCTCCTATCCTTTTATCAGCATCCTATTTTATTAGTGTCTGTAATATATAGACTTCTATATAGACATCCAAGGAAATGCATAGCAAATTCAGCTTTCTTCACTGTTCCTATGCCCTTACTGAATGCACTGAATAAAGAAGGTTCCATATTATTTTTATTTCCTGCTTTTTTTTTCTCACCTGAATTCATTGTCATTCTACTTTATCAAGCAGCTATTAATTGGAGGAGGACCATTTGATGCCATCCAAGTCTTTTTTATTCCCATGATGTTTAGTCAACATGGATAGTGTTAAGAGATTCCAGGGACAGTACCAGACTTGTCTATTTCAGGGGTCTGCAACCTTAAACACTCAAATAACCATTTGGACCCGTTTCCCACAGAAAAGAAAACATCGGGAACCACAAAACTCTTCCCGTGCCTATTTCTTGAGCAGCCACAAAACTAGCATATGTAGTTGAATTAAACGTTCTGTTTTCTTCTGAAACTTTTCTTTTTTTGGATTTATCCATGGTTGGCCTACCGGGGGTTGAAAAGCTCAATAAATCATGGGTCGGTGGGAGTCGTACATTGGCGGTTGTGACACATATTTTGAGTGACAGGGAGTTGCAACAGATGGGTGAAAGAGCCACATGTGGCTCCAGAGCCACAGGTTGCTGACCCTTGGTCTATTTTAATATAATTAATTTCAAATCGCGAACCAGGGTGGTATATCAATATTCATAGTTTATGAATTGTTTTTTCTCCACTCACTTTCTTTTAAGGTGGAATGGCTTAAGAATGAAGAACCAGTCAATGCTGAACAGGATGAAAATATTGATACCCGAGCAGATCATAATCTAATTATCCATCAAGCCCGGCTGTCTGATTCAGGGAACTACACTTGCACTGCATCCAACATTGTTGCCAAAAGAAGAAGCCTCTCAGCCACAGTCGTGGTGTATGGTCAGTAGGTGTGACATGCTGTAACTTCTTGGACTATGAGTATCACTCTTGCTTGATCAATACAGTTAAAGAATTCTTTTAAGCATCACTGCTGGCCAAGGATTTCCTAGAATTGAGGTCCACACATCTTAAAGTTGCCAAGGTTGAAAAATATTGGGTTAAAGCATCAGACTAGAAACCAGGTGGCTCTGAGTTCTGGTCCCATCCTTGATATGAAGCCAGGTAGATGACCTTGAGATAGTCATTTTCTTTCAGCCCTAAAACAGAGTTAATGGCAAATAACTTTTGAAAACCATGCCAACAAAAATGCAATGACTTGTCCAAGCAGTCTCCAAGAATTAGATACAATTGGACAGAAGAAAAAAAAGTTTAATAGAACACTGAAATAAGCCTTCTACTCCTAATAGTGATTGGGAGACAGATTATGTCAATGCTCCCTTTACTGACTTCTAACTGTTCATGAACTATGTGTGCATCCAAGCAAAATATAATTTTATTATTGTTTTTAATAACAATAACTTTTAATAACTTAATAAAATAACATCTTTCTGTTCAATCAGAGATTAAGATCCTTGATTTCAAAACAGAGTTGAGAGCATAACAGTTGTGACTACATAAATTCTATGTATACTTTGCTGAGAATGAGTGGGCATAAGAGGTACAAAGTCCATTAGTGAATAGAAGTGTGTCTCAGTGGAGGAGAAAGGTTATATTAATGTGGAACTGGGGCTAAATATTCCCCACTTTTTTCTTAGATAGTAAAATATCAGTTATATTGAAGACTCTATAGCTGTCTCTAACCTACTAAAGCTCGATTTCCACAAGATATAATCAAGGTAAGGATGTTGGGTAGTGCAATTAAGCAATATCTTGAGATCCAAAGTCTAATGTATACTAATGATACCTGTCTGTACAACAGTGGAGCCTCTTAATCAAACTTAAGACATAGAATTACAATGACCTTACAGACATTTTTCGGACAGCTGAACTTGAAATGCAGCAGGGAAGTTTTCTGCTTCTTTCTTTCTTCATTTCATCTTTTCTTCTTATTAAAGTACCAAATGGCATTTCATTGATTAAGAACGAAGGATGTCTCAACCCTTCACTTCGCTTTGCTTCCCTCCCTTTCCTAATTGAAATGAAAACCACTTTGGTCTAGTGTTAAGGTACCAGCCTAAAAACCAGGAGTTCTAATCCTCTCTTAGGCCTGAAAGCCAGTTGGAAGACTTTGGGGTTGTCACTCTGTCTCATCGCAAATCACCTTATAGGATTGTTCATGAGGGGAAAATTGGAGGAGAAAGGAGTATCTTGAATTCTTTATAAAATTAATAAAGGTGGGATTAAAAAACAATTTTTAAAAAATATGCTTGGAAAGAATTAAAATGAGCCTATGTCATCATTAGTTCCTTACCAAAACATATCCGTTTATTGATACTATGTCATTTAGGTAGGTGCATCTCAGTAATACTTGCACATCAGCATGTAAAATGGAAATGGTGATAATTCTCACGTTTTTTTGTTTTTAAGGAGAAAATATTGAAAATGGAAAGCTTTGTAACAAAGACTGACTGCTAATATGCTATCCACCTGTTCTCCTATATTTGTGTTTGCATAGTGAACGGAGGCTGGTCTTCTTGGACGGCTTGGTCGGACTGCAATGCCCAGTGTGGCAGAGGAATGCAAAAGAGATCCCGCACATGTACCAACCCTGCTCCCCTCAATGGTGGTGCTTTCTGCGAAGGAATGTCTGTACAGAAAATTACCTGCACATCATTGTGTCCCAGTAAGCAAGATATCCTGTTAACAGTGTAGCCAGGAGGCAGGGCTCTTAGCGCATGTAGAGCCCCAGGCTCGGGTGTGTAGCCAGGTCCTTAAAGCTTTAGGGAAGGCTAACAGGATTGGGGGCATTCTAATCACTGAAGGATGTTTCACAGAGCAGGGGCTCCTGCAGAAAAAGTTTTTTTTCTAATCCCCATCAACTGGCATTCTTTGGCTGATGGATTTGCAGAATGCCTGTCTTATTTGATCTGGTTGGATGGGTAGAAACTCTGGAAAAAAGGTGATTCCTCAACTATCTTTATTGCAGGGTGTGGTAGATGTTGGGACATGAACACAACTATAACCTTTTTTCTTTTTCAATGTCCCAGTTTCTCCAGAATCACAGAATTGAATTATAGGCCAAATGGTTATTAAGATTTTAATCTGCAACCTGATTCTTATGCATTCTGATTATTTGTGTGTTTGTGTGTATGTATGCATTTTTCTTTTTGTCTTCTGCATATTCCCTATGGGTTTTATTACCTAAAGCAGTTTGAATACCATGGATGTTTGAGCACCTATCTATGATCTAAATTGGAATTTAGTGGAACTGTACTATACACTGCAAGCATTTTCTCCTCCTTAACTTCCTCTCTTAACTAGGCATGGTTTGAACAGGTACTTCAAGCAGAACTGGACAAGGCTTGTACAGGTTACAAGCTGGAAAGTGTGCTCTCTGTAAGGCAATTCACAAATGTATTGCTCCTGAATTTCTCTTAGACGTAAACAAGAGGACTGCAAGGCTAGCTCTGATATTTCTGGCACATGTCAAAAACTCTGGATTTTGTTGGAATCTGGATTTCCATAGCAACATTACTTTCACTTCAAGCAGTTGTTGAGGCAAAAAGCCTCAAACCATTGTTGAATCTCATAAATAATCATAGCCACCAATCTCTGAATTTTCTTTCCACTTCCTCCTTTTCCACCAAAAGAGTTGATGCTAAAATCTGTTTCCCAGTGTGCTGAGGCTGTCCTTTCTCCTAAATGCTTACCTTGTTCTCATTTTTTTCCTGTAATCTCTTCAAATGTGTTCTTGTTTACTTGAATGGGTCAAGATGGCCAAAATTCAAGTAATATACTTTTCTCCATCTTTGTCCTAAACCTAGGTATTCATACTTTTAGATCAACAAAAACCTTGTATCAGGAAATTCCCTTAAGAACGTCTTCCTTGGGATTTAATTGAAAGGTTAATATATTTAACCTTCTCAAAATCTAGGGTATATGTGTACCTCTGGAGTAGACCTGTGAAGAAATGATTAAAGGACAGGACACTTCTCATGTCCATCTCATAATTAAGACTTGTGTTAAAAATCTCACAAGCCAGTTATGAGAAGTTCACCAATATCTTCCTTTTGCTTGAAAAACAGAAATGGAAAGAAGTATATTTTCTATTAAAATGAGGAGGAAGAAGGGAAAATATTGACATGCTATTTCTTCCAAATGTTCAAATCTCATTTGAGGAAGATATTCTTAACTCCTCCAGCCAAACCCCAATGTCATGCTTCAAGTGAGGGACTACTGAAAATTATGTAATAGAAAACCAATTGTGGTATTATTTCTATGAGAATGAAAAGGAGAAAATGTGCAAGCAGAGACATTCTTCCTTTCTATATTTTGTATTCTATATTCTGTATCTCCAACAGGAATACAAATCAATTGGATGATACAGGTAGTCCTTGACTTACAACAGATCATTTACTGACCATTCAAAGTTACAACAGAAACTGAAAAAAGTAATGTTAAGTTGGGTGAATGAGGACGCAGCAAGCCAGGCAGTGAGTGACAACAGCTCTTTATTGTAGAGTGAGAACCCAGCAACTGACCAGGGGAAACAACTCCCTTTATATACCTTGCAGCTGTGGTGGTCAGCCAATCAGCTGACGGTCAGTTAATTCAAACTGCCCGCCCAAAATCTACATACATAACACTCCTCCCCTCCCAGAAGTCACTTGGGGTGGACATTAGCATACAAAGTCTCTCAAGTGACCAGGGCGTGTCCGCACCCTAGTTGACCTGCACAGTTCAGTCGGAGGTGTGGCGTCAAGTAGGTTGGAGGAACTCCCTGTTTCTCCCTGCTCCACCAATGGAACCTCCAAGAATTAGTTGTGGGCGGCGACTTCTGCGGGTGGTCGATCTTCTGCGATGGGGTGGTGCTGGATCTCGGGGCCGACAGCTAAGTCCTCCGCTAGATTCGGGTTTGAGTTAGGTCGAGAGTTCTGTTGGTAGCTAGGGAGCAGTTCGTCGAGTGTGTCTTCTGTGTCGGCGGCCCAATGCTTCTGTAACTGATCAATGTGTCGGTGCCAAATCCTCCCATCTCCCATGTCTACTCTATACGACTTGGGCCCGGTTACCTCCGTGATTGTCCTGGTTTCCCAGAGGGGCCCGTTCCCATAATTCCTAGCGAATACTGGCATTCCTGTTGTGAACTCCCTACGTCTTTTCTCTGCCCCTCTGAAGTTGTCAGGGGAATAACTGGGGTGTAGCCTGTCTAGGACTCCTCGGAGCTTTCTCCCCATCAGAAGTTCCGCCGGGCTGCTGCCTATGGCGGTGCATGGTGTGGCATGTTGGGCCATTAAGAATTTATCTCTCCTCTCCTACCAGTCCCCGGGACCTAGGCGTGAGATGGCTTCCTTAGCCATTCTCACAAATCTCTCCACCAATCCATTGCTAGCCAGATGAAATGGGGCGGAGAGCACATGTCTGATCCCCAACTCTGCTAGGTACCCCTCAAACTGTGTGGCCGTGAACTGGGACCCGTTATCTGAGACTAAGGTGTCCGGTAGGCCATGGATGGTGAACAACTGCCTTAGCTTCCTAATGACGGCGTCGGTGGTAGTGGTTTTCATGAGTCTGATCTCCAACCACTTCGAGAAAGCGTCCACAACAACCATAAATACCTGCCCATGGAATGGGCCAGCGAAGTCTATGTGGATCCTGGACCAGGGACCCTGGGGCCATTCCCATTCCCTGACCGGTGCTGTGGGGGGGTCTGGCCTAGACTCCTGGCAGGGTTGGCACTTCCCCACTCACTCCGTGATGTCTTTATCCATTAGGGGCCACCATACATAACTCCTAGCTAACCCCTTCATCCTCACAATCCCGGGGTGCCCCTCATGCAGCAGATTCAAAACTTTTTCCCTTAGGCACAAGGGAGCAATAACCCGATCGCCCCACAAAAGACAACCCCCTTGCATTGTCAGCTCGCCCTTTTTGTTAGCGAAGTGTTTGAGTTCCCCGCCCTCAAACTTTTCTGGCCACCCCGTCATGACCCAACTCGTGACTTTCCTAATCACATGGTCTCTGGTTGAAGCCCTTGCCATCTCCGCTGAAGTGATGGGCCCCGAGTCCAAGACGTCAATCAGCAGGACTGGAACTCCGGGTGTGGGGTCCTCTATCTTGTCCGGTAACGGGCAACAGCTGAGGGCATCAGCATTGCCCATGCTCACCCCTGGTCGATGTACCAGGCGATAGGAGTATACTGCCAGGAAGATGGCCCAGCGTGTCATCCTGGGAGATAGGGCTGCCAGGGTGGGTCAGTCCCCTGTGATGAGACCCAGAAGGGGGCGATGGTCTGTGATGAGTTCGAAGTCTCTGCCAAACAGGTATTCATGGAACTTCTTGACTCCTGAGACAGCTGCCAGGGCCTCTTTGTCAAGTTGACTTAGTTCCATTCGGTGCTTGAAAGAGTAGTAGGCAATGGGTGCCTCTAGACCGTTCGGTAGTCTATGGCTCAGGACAGCCCCCACGCCAAAGGGGGACGCGTCACAGACTAGCACTAAGGGAAGCGTAGAATTGTACTGAATTAGGAAACTCTCAGCCGACAGGAGTTTCTTTATAGTAGTAAACGCGGTAGCTTCAGCCTTTCCCCAAACCCATTTGGACTTTTTTGCCAACAGTCTGTGCAGGGGCTCCACTACTGTTGCCTTGTCCCTTAGAAAAATTGTGTAAAGTTCAATAGTCCCAGGAACGCTTGTAGTTCCGTCTTATCTCTGGGGGTGGGAGCCTCTCGGATCGCCCTAATCTTGCTTTCTCTGGGGTCTATGCCAGGTCCATCTAACCAGTACCCCAAGAATTCCACGGAAGGGACTGTGATCATGCACTTGTTGTGTTTGACTCTGAGTCCTGCACTCCTGAACTTCCCTAGGACTTGTCTCAGTCTCTCCCCTAGCTGCTGTTCATCTCCTGCAGTGACGAGCATGTCATCAAAATATGGGACCACCCCGGGGATCCCCTGTAACAGTCACTCCATGGTGCTCTGGAACAGTCTTGGAGCTATGCTGACTCCGAATTGGAGTCTCTATGTGTTACTATAGTTTGTGCCTCTGCAGTAGCGCCATCTACCAGCAACTGCTGGTACGCCTGCGCAAGATCAAGTTTAGCAAAGATCTTGCCTGGCCCTAGGGAATGCAGTAGATTATGTATGATCGGAACTGGGTAAGCACTCTGTTGCAGAGCTTTATTGATCGTACACTTATAGTCTGCGCAGATGCGCACAGACCCATCCGGCTTAACGGGAGTCACAATTGGGGTCTCCCATCAGGCATGATCGATTGGCAGTAATCCCCTGCTTTATCAATTTGTCCAATTCCACGTCGATCTTGGGCTTTAGGGCAAAGGGTACCCTCCAGGGTTTCAGCCGGATGGGGGCAGTATTGGGGTTGAGGTTGAATGAGATAGGGGTCCCCACATACTTGCCGAGCCGCTCGTCAAACACGTCCTGGAACTCCTGCATCAGGTCGTCCTTCATGGTGCTTCGCACGCTGCGGACTCTGGTGAGTCCCATGCCCAGGGCTCTGAACCAGTCCATGCCCAGGAGGCTTGGGAGCTTTCCCAAGTGAAGGGAAGCTTCTCTCAGAATTCCCCGTACTCCACCTGGAACTCGCCGATTCCTTCCATGGGGATGCGGTTCCCCTGGTAATCGTGCAGTCCCAGCCGCTGGTGCCATAGTTGCCGTCTCTGGATGCT